ACCTCATTTTGGGGGCCACGTGAGCAACACAAATGCGAACAAGCTTGAATGGTCCCCAAGCATATATGCTGATATACGGTCGGTCGATTTGTAGGGTCACTGATGGTCGAATGATTTAAGGTACCATGTACACCAGTTGCATCGTGCTCCTGGCGGTCTGGGTTCGAGTCACTTCTGGGGTGTGGAGTTTTCATTCGCATATATATGCTTGGGGACCATTACAATGCTGATAGAGACAAGAGAATTCGAGACGCTGTGCTCCAAGACGAGGAGTGGGCTACCCATCCACCTGCAGATGTAATGGCTAACCCTACATTAATAAACAGTTTACAAACAATAAATATTAGGAATATGCATGACGCCCCTAGACGCTTATGTATTGAGAGATCAGCTGTGTTTGTTCAGAAATCGAGTCTAGTTATATAAATTACGTTTTAAATAACGGTATTAGGATACAAAATTTAATTTGTATAGCGTATGGAATATTAATTGTGCCTGCATATGGAGTGAAATTTGCTTAATTTGCATATTAATAGCCCAATTTAGTGCAATATTTTTATTTCGGTTGTGTAGAAAACTAAACTATTTTTGCGTAGTGTTATAACCTGGTATTATTTACATGCAACTTTGAAAAATATATTAAGTCAAATATTTGTAAGTACTAGTATATTACCATTCGCCACATTCACACCTTTAAATGACCCAATTCAGTAGAACCATTTCCGGCATCTCATAATTAAATGGATTTTTTGTTTTCGTATAAAATGTCACCATTCAAATAGCTTATCAGATATTTATTGCATGTTCTCGTTTCGTAGTTTCTGTAATCTTTGTTAATACCATTAAAATTCTAATTTTAAACGTTCCCAAATCAAATAAATAATTTTCCATTCATGACAAACATTTACAGTGAACTATTGGAGTTCACTGTAAATGTTCACTGTAAATAGTTCACTGTAAATGTCTTGTATATTTCGTTTACTTAAATTGCGTTGTGTTGGGTAGGATACAGTCACTTTAATGTGGAGTTGAAACCTATATATTGTATAAAAAATGGATGAATGTCGTAACATGATTGAGTAGTTGAGACTAGAATGTATTACTGCTATGTTTTGTGGGAAAAAGATGGTAAAATGTCGTTCTACTCTATTAGGAGAGAAATACATTTATGCAACAGACGACTAAAATGAATAAATCCTCCGTCTGAGAAGCGTAATTTATCGTCTTTGCACTGAAGAAATATCTACTAACCACCTTAGTTGATAATTTAGCTGGGAAATTCTACTTTAATAATTTTTGAGTTAATTTCGATGTCATTACAATTATTATTATTTGTATTATTACTTATCCAGAACTTCATCACATTGTTATGAATTACTATATATCTTCTATATCTATCTATAAAATAGAATGTCTATCTGTGTTTGTCTGTTAGTCAGTCCAAGCATGGATGCCAGATGGTTGGGGCTAGCCTCGGCCGACTTTCCAAGATGACACATGGGGGGTTTGGAAGGGTCACTGGTCAAATGAGGTCGGTCCCAGTTCCAGCCTTTGGGGAGTATCGGTATCTATATTGACCCCTACAAATTTCGTGAAGTCTAAAATCAGGGATTTTTTTTAGCAATTTTTTAGTGCCTTATAATATTAAATTAGCTGAAAGAGATAGAGAGAGAGAGAGAGAGAGAGAGAGAGAGAGAGAGAGAGAGAGAGAGAGAGAGAGAGAGAGAGAGAGAGAGAGAGAGAGAGAGAGAGAGAGAGAGAAGGAGAGGGAGAGAGAGAGAGAGAGAGAGAGAGAGAGAGAGAGAGAGAGAGAGAGAGAGAGAGAGAGAGAGAGAGAGAGAGAGAGAGAGAGAGAGAGAGAGAGAGAGAGAGAGAGAGAGAGAGAGAGAGAGAGAGAGGAGAGGTGAGGTGAGAGGGGAAGGTTAAACAAACTTGGAGAGGAAGAAAGGGGAGAGGGGTGAAAGGGGAAGAAGAGGGATGTAGTGGAAAAAGAGGTGAAAGGTTCAGAGGAAATAGAATGGAAGAGAAGGAGAGTTGAAAAATTCTATCCAAAGTTCGTTTTCATGGCTAAACACTAAGAGATCAGGGGCTAGATTCACGAAGAAGTTACGCAAACACTTACGAACCTGTCAATCTTTTCTCAATCTTTGGCGGCTTTGTTTACAATTATTAAACAGTTAATGAGCTCCGAAGTACCAGGAGGCTGTTTATAACAATAACTATAATTGATTGGGAAGTTTTCATGCTTGTAAACTGTTTAATAAACGTAAACAAAGCCTTCAAAGATTGAAGAAAGATGTACAAGTTCGTAAGTACTTGCGTAACTGCTTCGTGAATCTAGCCCCTATTGCGTTGATCCTGTCAAAATTTTCAGAGTCAGATGACTGACAAGTGAATGCAATTTAGGTGGATGTGCCGAATATATAACCAAGAATGAGGGACGTGTCACGTAGACCAATAGGTTAACGGCAACTCATCAGTCTTCTAACATTAGCTCATAATAAAACAGTAAAATTAACTTTAGGGGAGTTAATTTTTCAGCTTCCTTTTCCAGTGAAGATAATTCAACCATTCCTCCTGAAATGATAGTCCTTTTTGTAACTATTTGGTCGATCGTAGCAATTTATAGTAATAGAGCGTCACAAGCCACTTTTTGTACTATATTTAATAGAGTCCAGAAAAAAATTAAGTTAAAACCAAACTTAAATATTCCGAGGCATAGTATAGTACATATATGGACTATATTCGGCATAAGCTAACGTCTTTTAGGCCTGAGGCGCCTGACAGCTGAGGGGACAGCGCTTCGGATTCGTAGTCCTGAGGTTTCGGGTTCGATCCCCGGTGGAGGCGAAGACAAATTGGCAAAATGCTTCTTACACCCCTGATGCCACTGCTACCTAGCAGTAAATAGGTACCTGGGAGTTAGACAGCTGCCACGGCCTGCTTTCTGAAGGTGTGAAACAAAAAAGGAGGCCTGGTTGAGGACCGGGCCGCGGGCACGCTAAACCACGAAATCTTCTCAAGATAACCTCAAGATAGAATGTTTAAACTAAGTTTCATTAGCAATATAAATATCAAACCTTTTTCTGTTTGTTCAAATTCAGTAATACAAAGGTCTACTTAATTGTGGTGAAGCGGCCGTCTCACGTGCCTGGGGACCAAGGCTACTAGTGCCCAGGTGAATAATTATATATAATATATATATATATGTATATGTCGTACCTAGTAGCCAGAACGCACTTCTCAGCCTACTATGCAGGGCCCAATTTGCCTAATAAGCCGAGTTTTCACGAATTAATTGTTTTTCGACTACCTAACCTACCTAACCTAACCTAACCTAACTTTTTCGGCTACATAACCTAACCTAACCTATAAAGATAGGTTAGGTTAGGTTAGGTAGGGTTGGTTAGGTTCGGTCATATATCTATGTTAATTTTAACTCCAATAAAAAAAATTGACATCATACATAATGAAATGGGTAGCTTTATCATTTCATAAGAAAAAAATACGAGAAAATATATTAATTCATGAAAACTTGGCTTATTAGGCAAATCGGGCCTTGCATAGTAGGCTGAGAAGTGCGTTCTGGCTACTAGGTACGACATATATATATATATATATATATATATATATATATATATATATATATATATATATATATATATATATATATATATATATATATATATATGAACTTGAATGGTCCGCGCAAGTTGTAAATAATTAAATCATTATAGAAACTATGGTCCCTGGCCTCGCAGGTTCAAATTCTGATACACGATATATATATATATATATATATATATATATATATATATATATATATATATATATATATATATATATATATATATATATATATTTATTACAATAACCAAAAATCTTTGAAACCGACTATGAAAACATGTTATGGTGTTACACCCTGATTGATTTAATCCTTCAAAAATATATTCGTTTTGTCTTATACTGAATATATATGACAAATGTCATGCACAATAATGGAATTTAAGATTACTTTTGCATTTAAACATTTAAGTGCGCTAAAGAACATATTGCTAAAACTTTACCCCATGTTGATTTTTGGGTGGATGTGTATATGTGATACCAGATGTGAATTGTGGTAAAGTTAACACCTTTAAATCAGGGAAAATCTTTTAATGAATTGTGTTGGTTAGCACCAGTTCATTGTCAGGTCAAAGGAAGATATTTGATGTACTGTTCCTTGACCTGCAAGATTTTGACCATCCGTTTGACTGGAATAATACGAAAGTCATGGCCAATAGCAGGTCCTATATTGACAGAAATATAACTGAATCTACCCTAATTAGATATATTAAGTGAGTAATTATGAAAAGAAGGCGCAAAGAATTATTAGATATAGTGATAAGACAGTTATGAGTCCCGGTTTGTATACGAACGGAAATTTTTTTTAGTTAATAGAGTCACTTCCAAGATCTCTGATAACATTGTAATTATGCTTTATATACGTAATTACCAACCTAATGCTCCACGTCTGAGCTACCCTGTTTGTGCTATTAATTTTGTATTTTATTTCATTGTTCATTTCAACTTAATTGTTCCATAGTGTTTTGACTTTATTATACAAATGTCTGCCTTCATTGTTTTAAAGAATCTTATTGCGTTAATTGTTATATATTACCGTTGTTTATTTCCGATTTATTTGATCTTATTTACACATTTTATATATATGTACTAATTTGTTTGGTTTACTGAGTAGTTGCCATCTCTTTTTTCTTATCTCGTTTCCTTTCATTCCTCTTTCCTGCCCCTCAGTCCATAGCCGGATGATATTGCTAACAAATATTCCCATTTATTGATTATTCCCACATAGACTTATCTCTGAATTTACGAAGTCACGTATTTTGTGACCTCTATATATATATATATATATATATATATATATATATATATATATATATATATATATATATATATATATATATATATATATATATATATATATATACATATGCATATATATATATGTAGCACGAAATTCATATTTGGATGTTAATGTACCAAATATTCGTCATTGTGAACCTTAATTAGTTTTTTGAAAGTAAATTTTCCGCCTATTGAACGTGAATGCACTTGTAGTTATTTCTAAATTTGCATTAATAATTGTAATGACGAACACTTGAATGTGTTCTTGTGAGGTGAATGATGTGAATGCCAGAAAAATAAAGTAAATCTTAGAGGTAATAGACCGCAGAGTTCCTTAAAGATCAGAACTTATAGGAAAAAGGCGAAGAGGCTGCCACTTGACTCATCTCCGTGTTGGGGACTCATCAGTTCAAGAGTGACTGATGAGTCCCCCCTCATCAGTCCTCCCTCACACGGCACTCTCCTCCCCTCGAGAGGCTCCACCGGTCCAAGTGACGTGCTTGGCTCTGCTCTTGGGGCTGCAGTGCGGCACTAAAGGTTCGCCTGCATGTTCTATGCTTCCTTGTGACACCAGAGTGCGCTGAAGATGCTGTCCTCCAAGCTGGCTTGGCGCCAGACCTACACCTATGTGATGCGGGGCTTGGGGGTGTGACACCGAAGCCGCCCCCGCGTGAGGGGCGGTCATACCAGCTGGGAGCTCACCTGCTAAGCCTGGGTGCGGCTGCACGTAGTGAATAGCGGCAGGTTGGGACGTCTGAGGCAATCCCGGACACTGCTGCAGGGCGACGTCTGTCCCCGTGGTGTAAATCATCTGTGGGTGCGGAATGTTGAAGGAGGTGGGCGCCCCGTGGTGCTGTTGACGTAGCGGCGGGGACGCCCTAGCTAGACAGTGTTGAGAACCCAGCCCCGTGCCCCGTTCCACTGATGATGATCGCTGGAGACAATGCTGTAATGGAGATGAGCGTTGTATAGAGTGCTGGCTGCTAAGAGCATGGTGCAGAGAGTGCTGACTATCCGAGGAGCGTGAAAGCGTGTGCTGATTACCCGAAGAGCATGAAATAGTGTGCTGGGTAGCAGCGGTGTGCTGTAGTGCGTGCTGCGTGGGCGACAGGTCGTTGCAAGTGGCGGAGCAATACTGAGGCGGGGGCGGAATGTGGGCGGGAATTGTGAACACCGCGCCCCCGCCGCCCACGCTGGCTGGGGTGGAAGCTGTCCCCGTGCTGCACTCTGACGTGGCCTGGGGGAAGAGTCACCATGCTGGGGGTTACTACCTCAGGAACAATATAGTCTATCCTAGTATTCCATTCTCACTCCAAGTCTGCTAGATAAACAACAGTCGTTCCAGCTACACTACAGAGGTCACGACCTCTCCGCAGGGTACAGTCGCACCTCCACAGATCTCCAGTATCAGCTCTTGATACTGGTAATGGCTCCAAAGGGCCACCACTTACGGGCTAGTCATGCCCGTGCCACCTTTTGGGAGGTTTAATCTGCATCAATCAATCAATCAGCTACACTAGTCACCCTCACACTTGAGCTCTGCCAGACGAGCAGAGCTCAAGTCCCTCCTGCTATGCCAGACACTCCACACACACTCCTGCTTACCTGGCTTTACCCTCATGTTCAGGCAAGCTCTTCACTCTCACGTGTTCTCTGGAACTTCACACCTCCTCATATACAGTCAGATTCCCCCACTATAACTCCCTACTAGGGAATAATTATGAAAGTCATTCAATAGTAATTCTTGAACTCTAATTCTCTAAAATTATAAAACAGAAACACAGAATTAAGAAGAGATTCAATTTGTAGAATAAATTATTACCTGTTTGGAGGCTCTCTCTCAGACTTTACAGTGATACAAAGGGTTTGCATTAATAAGGAGGGAAATAAGAGAGATGAAGTCAGCGTGGTGGAGGTGCAACGAAGTGATTGAAGTGAGTAATAAAGCTTTTCATGCAGAGAACTTTCTTTTTGGCAGTGGCCATGTCTGCGAGAGACACGCGTCTAGATTCAGACACCCTCCGTGAGGGCCTTGGTGTCCCTATTCACACGGAATAGAAGTGAACTTGCAACAGGGTGTTAGCTAGCTAATATGGAGTGCACGACACTCTACCCGTGTTTTGTTTATAATGACCACGACATTGGATTTATCCACATTGGTAATATAATAATTGAACCCGTCCACCCGTCGAAGCCGTAAATGCCAAAACTTTGTTAAAATTTTAACATCTGTAAAAGATCCTCAAGGCAAAAGTAGAGGACCTTCGACAAGCCGCCGGTTTCCTGTCCTCGTCGGGACCACTAGCGTTAGTGGCCCTCCAGGTAAATTAGTATAATCTATTGAAATATCACTGTTCTTTGCTAGGTTACAGAACCCTTTGGCTAGATCTACGAAATTCACATCTTTATTTGTAGAAGCAAAACTCAGTCTACATCTTAATGCATTAATAGTTTTGTTGTCTAACTGTCCGAATGATAAATTAATAAAAAAAAACCTTGGTTAGCATGTTTATTCCAATCACTGTTGAGAATCAGCCTATTTAGTCCGTTATGAGCCTAACTGATTTAGGTTACAATTTAGATCTGTACTCACGACCTTGGAGGCAGATTTAAAAAGCAGTATTATTGTAACTTTTGCTGTATCTAGTTGTTTGGTGTTTTCTTGTTACAACGGAATGTTCCTGTAACAAGGTAATCATGAACAAATCCACAAGGGCCGTGACGAGGATTCGAACCTACGTCTGTGAGCATCCCAAACGCTGCCTTAATCGACTGAGCTACGACGTAGGCTTAGCATCCCAGGTCTGGGATGCTCACAGACGTAGGTTCGAATCCTCGTCACGGCCCTTGTATATTTGTTCATTGATGCATCACGTTATTGTGATTTCTGTGTGTAATAAGGTAATCATTATATCTATTTTCTTGTTTTATCCCGTAACTTATGTAAAATATTTTAGTTACCCTGTAACAATGATACATTTTCTATTATTATTATCTGCACCCGTGCTCTAAATAAGACCGAAAACTATGTTGATTATTCAGAACATTAGCTAATAATTGTTTCTTCAAGTCATTTAAAACTTCTTTGTAATACGTTATTAAATTATATTTCTACAATATTCTTCTTGCTCGTCAATCTTCCGTTTTCATTTATAATTGCTACTGAGATTCTCAAATATTTGCTTCTGCATGCAGATAATGAGTCACAATAACGTGTTGTTGTTGATTTAGGAGCGACGACGATCATGGGATCGGATGCGCCCCGTCATACCTGTAAAGGGTTAATCACGAAGCCCGGAAAGGTGAAACGCCAAGTCTAATCGCGAAACGAGTGACACCAATCACTAGAAACTAATATGCCTCGCGGCAAAGAAACGCAGACAGGCAGATGATTGGCGAGCCCTAGGAGTCCCTCAGGGTGACAAGCACCGGCCCCACACAGATAACACCGGGTAGCAAAACCAAAAACTCGGCCCTTAGCTAAAACGCAAAAATCATCCAGTTCCTCCCCCGGCAGAGCAGAAGCCGGCCGCCTATTACGGCTGAGGGCACACCAGGAGCCCACCAAGACCCACCAACTCCCAGCACCTCTCGGCCAAGCCGGCCCCCGAACACCGTCACCCCGCCGGGAGAACCAGCCAGAACACGTAAAAAAATGAATCTACCAACAATCCCGTGACCCAAGGCGATATGTACGCCAGGCGTCGTTCAACCGGACCGTTGAATAGGGATGCCAAAGGGCAGTAGCAAATCCAAATCGCAAAACAAAACGTGATCCGGCGGCCCCTAGGCTGAGGAGGCGTCGAGACGACATTTTGGCGTCAAGGTTGAGCCAGGAGACCCCACAATAATGTGGCTGAAGAATGTTGACCAAATCACACACTAATAGATGAAAAGACGTCGACGTTTCGGTCCGTCCTTGACCATTATCAAGTCGAATTTTCTTGGATGCAGCTACTCAACAAATAAATTCATCAAAATGATGATGATGATCACTAGGAAAGATAAAATACAATGAGAAAGAGACGATTAACGAGGAAAGGGTTTGCTTCTTCAGGAATTAAGGATTTTACCAGAGCAGGAGTGCCTAGAATAACCTCTACTTAACCAGAAAAATCACTGACTCACCAGGGAATCACAGACTCACCAGGGAATCACTGACTCACCAGGGAATCTGTTACTCACCAGGGAATCACTGACTCACCAGGGAATCACAGACTCACTAGGGAATAACTGACTCACCAGAGAATCACTGACTCACCAGGGAATCTGTTACTCACCAGAGAATCACTGACTCACCAGGGAATCTGTTACTCACCAGAGAATCACTGACTCACCAGGGAATCTGTTACTCACCAAGAACTGATTGTTCATTGAATAGATATGACATGCACAAGAAAAGATAACTCACCAGGAAGGGGTCTGCCTCAGTGAGTTCTTGGTTGTCGATCAACTCTCCTTTGCTCCCCGTCACTACCTCGCTCCCCTCGCTCTTCGTCTCCAGCTCTGGAACACATAACATTAAGTGGCAAATTTCACATGTATATCATCCATGTTTCCTCCAAATGCACAGTGGAATCTTTATATATTTAAAATGTAGTCTAATATTTATTCATATTATATATATATGATCAAATTATGCTGTCTTTAATATATCTCTTATATTACGTATCTCAGACTTTTCCCAGAGTATTAGAAATAATTGTGTTAAAAAAGTTTGAAGATTTGTATTTCCATATGAATGAAAATTTGCTAATGTCGCTCCTCAACATAACATGCTAGATGTGTTCAAGCTCGATTTTTAGAAGTCATAAGTGAATCAATGAAGAACTAGTCACTATACATTAGTAAACCACCAGATTCTGATTCTATGTGCCAGGATTGACCTTGAACCAATGATATCTGGGTGTATTGAGAAGTTTCAGGACTTTGACTTAACCACAACGATGATCCTGGCTGTCTTACTAAAGTTTTTTTTTAATATAAACTACCGGATTGTTAGTACTTTGTTGGATCTTAAGACTCGACTCGAATTTTGTAAGTGTTTTAGGATTTCACATGAAAATTGTGAGATCCTAAAAGGGAGTATAGGATTAAGGTTTAAATATCTATCCAGACTCCAAATCGATTTAAATATCTCAGACAGACCCGCGATAAGCAGCCAGATCTGGGTGCTATATTCCAGAACCCTTATTGACACTGGCTTATATCCCTGTTTGACACGTTCTATATATTGTATTGGTCAACAACAAGCACTTGCAACGTTAAATGAGTAAACCTGAGCAGAAACACCATAGCCCCTTCTGGTGCAAGCCGCGACTCATATTGACCAGCAACCGGGCTCTATATGGACGAGGTATATTATCTCAGAGGGGCAGACGAGGAGTCACAATAACGTGGCTGAAAAATGTTGACCAAACCACACACTAGAAAGTGAAGGGACGACGACGTTTCGGACCGTCCTGGACCATTCACAAGACGATTGTGACACAATCGACTTGAGAATGGTCCAGAACGGACCGAAACGTCGTCGTCCCTTTACCTTCTAGTGTGTGGTTAGGTCAACGTCTTAGAGAGCCTCACCTTGCCCTGCCACCAGGTCAGGGGTGAGGCCGGCGCCTCGGCCACAGTGTCGACGGGTGATGAAGACAGCAGCCGCCACCAGGAGGAGGAAGACTCCCACAGCTCCCAGGAAGACGCCCAGGAGAGGCGACACAGCTCCTCCAGTAGACTCCTCGGGCTCGGGTTGGTTGCTCGACACCCCCGAGACTGACACAGCGGGTGGGGAGGAAACTACATGTTATTCTACTTGTGTGTCTTCGTTGCAATAGAATTTACATAATTGCAAGAGAGGGAGAACTGCGAAAAGACGAGTAATAAGGAGAATATTGACTGATGTAGTCACTTGCTGATAGTCTTTGATGAAATATAAATCTTTTAAAAACACCAAGGATGATATTATTTAGTATTTTACTTAATTATAGTGTTAAACATTATGTTATGTGCTAAGCAGCACATAAAATAGTTGAATGTTCAGCACAGTCTGCACATTGAGTTCATTAGCTCAGATTATTTAGTGCAGTACTGATTCTCTGACGTTAGGTTGTTTAAGCAGGGTTGTTTAAGCAGGGTTGTTTAAGCAGGGTTGTTTAAGCAGGGTTGTTCAAGCAGGGTGTTCTAAGAAGAGGCAGGAAATGTATAAGAAGGAAGACTTGAAGGAGAACAATTCATGAATCTGTAACTATATTTTGATTAAAACACACACATCTGATATGGTAGAGAAATTCAGTGTACCAGGTAGTTTATAACTGAAGTTGAGATAAAAAGAATGTCACCGGTAATGAATAACATGCATATGATGACTGAACAATATACACAGTGTGAGAAGCACAAAATAAGGGGGCTGAAAATATAGAAATATCACAACCAGTTTTTATTAGAATTTCAGAGTAATTATCCTAAAATGGGCATTCTTTAATCGTCGTGCCAAGTCGCCGCTGCCATTACAACGCGTGCGACGTGTGGCAGTTTAGTAATTAGAGTGAGGCAGTTTAGCAATTAGAGTGAAAGTTCAGCAGTGGTTCTGGCGATTATCCCCAATTACCCCAAATCTGGGACTTGACGAGCGTCCCTGGTCACCACGAATCTAATTAATGCGTAATAACAATAATATATTTTACGATGAGTGAAATGTCTTATGACTTTTAATATTTCTCAGAAAAGCATTTCTCCTGTAAACTTTTTTTCTCTTTTATAATGACATTTCAAAACCGTTTCGGATACTGTTTGAGTTGTGTTAAATGGATTGTGTTACATTCCATTGTGTTACATGGCTTGACAAAGGTTTTTGTGGGTTACTTAATTTGGTCATACAAATCGTTTTTCTATTTTTATAGTCCAAGTAATGGACCATAAAAAAATCTGATAATGGTCCAAGACGGATCGAAACGTCGTCGCTTCTCCATCTTCTGAGTTGTGGTCATGATGTCTTCAGCCCCGTTATTGTGACTCATCGTCTGCAATTGTTTTTCCAATTAATTATTTTTGCTTACATTTCTGACACTTTGCAAACGTCTTCTCATGTCTATGTGGCAAATCCGGCTGCTAGTTTATTCCCATGCCCTCTCGCCCAACTATTTTTTATTGTGTGCCTGTTTATGTGCGTTAATATGTACTATGTCGACCTTGGTGTCTTGACAAGTCTAACTTCTTCGAGACGCGACATATCTGCCTTTAACTGTTCCTTGACTATGGCTCCTCTCCAAATTACGGCATCTTTTAATTGATTATAAATGCATATCTTTATATTATCAATGAGAGCATCATAGTAGGTAGGGAATCACTTTATGTCGAGGGGAAAGGTTCAAGAATAGATCGATAAGTCAGTGACATTTCAAGATGGATGGGAGACTGAGGAGCTGAGTGCTGTCAAGACAAAATTCCCTCAGAAGGACTTACTGTAATAAGCCAAGAACTCAGGAAGAGAAAGCTACATCTCCAACAACGTGCAGAGAAAAGCTAAGGAATTGAATGCGATAAGTCACAATAACGTCGCTAAAGTATGTTGACCAGACCACACACTAGAAGGTGAAAGGACGACGACGTTTCGGTCCGTCCTGGACGATTCTCAAGTCGATTGTGATGAGGACGTAGAGACAGGCAATAAATAGGCAAGAGAGAGCTGAGGAGCAAAACTTCCTGACTTCAATAAGGAATTGAAGTCGGTCATTGAAAGCTCACGAATTTGCACGCGAGATATGCATGTCATGGTTCAGAGAAGGACAAGTCTGGATGAATCGGAAGAGGCAGTCACTGTTGCTGTAGATTCAGCCACACGGAACAAAAAAGTTCCAAGCAGCACGGGCTATGGTGAGCCCGTCGTACTCACCTGGCACAGGAGGTGAGCTGCAGCGCAGTCACGTCGGAAGTAACTTGCCATAATATTTGATTTAACATCAGCCAAGGTGCCCGGAAGAACATCTCACCCTCCTAATGTCGATAACTACAGTTTAAAGTGAAGGTAGTCACCCGGCTCGATTATAAAATAGGGCGAGATGGCAGCTCTCTCGCCTAATTTACAAGTAGGTTTTTATATACATCGGTATTGCGATATATTTTTTTTACGTGTAATTGAGTATATAATTGAGTATACGTTCATGGATGCTGTTGCCGTAGTAAATATGTTTTTGGTATATAGCTCCAAATGGCAAAATTTTATTTCATGTTCGGCTTTTTATCACGAGGTCCGTAATATCTACCTTTGCTTCGCATGCCCCATTCAGTCCAAAAAGCAGGGTAGCACTGCTTATTTTGGACTTGATGAAGATTAAGCCATCGTGGGTAACTTAATCTTCATCAATCAATCACGACTTGACAATGGTCCAGGACGGCCCGAAACGTCGTCGTTTCACCATCTTCTAATGTGTAGTTTGATCACCAATATCCCTCGATATCGCGACTCATCGCCTGCACCATAACAATAATAAACTGTTGACCAGTCCACACACTAGAAGGTGAAGGGACGACGACGTTTCGGTCCGTCCGGGACCATTCTCGACTTGAGAATGGTCCAAGAATGATACAGACAATCGACTTGAGAATGATCCAGGACGGACCGAAACGTCGTCGTCCCTTCACCTTCTAGTGTGTGGACTGGCCAACATACTTTAGCCACGTTATTGTAACTCTTCGCCTGCTTATGAATAATAAACTGGTCACGACAAAACACGACTCCCACAAACACCAACACACACACACACTTGTGAGCCAGAAACCTCTGATGAGTCTGATCAGTCACCACACACAATTAGACTCTTAGAAATACTCACTCATTCTGTTCTCGGCCACTTTGAGAGTGAAGGCTTCTAGTGAGATAGGTGGAGAGGCGCCCTTGCGATTAATGGCTGTGAGGGTGATGACGTAGTCGCCACCAGGAGCCAAGCCCTCTAGCGTGAAGATCGGGGACATCCCCTCCAACACCCGGACTGGTTTCGACGTCCCGCCGGCGTAAACTTCAGCTCTGTACACCAACAATATCAATAATTCCGTTCAGCCTTCAATATAAACTTTACATTATATTCATTTAATCAAAAATTAACATATCAAATTGGTGAATATTAAACAGATTCATTAAAATATATTGGATGTGTATGGTAAATACGAATCAGCTATGAAATCTATATTTGCTGCAGTAAGGGAATGCAGTACACTGTATATGTGTATATTTACATCACAGTGTAAAACATTGGCACATTATGTACCCAGAGTTGCTTGTGAGAGTTGTTGTGAAGCAGCTGAGGGAGTGTGAGACGATTGTGCAGTACATGGGGAGTGTAAGACGATTGTGTTGTGTTGCATCTGAGGGATTGTGAGACGATTGTGTTGTGCAGCAGTTGGAGGGAATGTGAAAGGATTGTGTTAAGTTGCAGTCTTTCAACTGTCTTTCAAACGTAGAGGGGAAGAAATAGCTTCAGATACTCTATCCTTTTTGGGTCTATTTTATTATCTAAGTAAACTTACTTTAAATTGACCTTCTATGACAAAAAAAATAAAAATTGAGCTGCTCTTCTACCAATCCTAAATATGGTCAAAAGTTAGCTGATATTATTCCCAAGTCGGTTCCTTATCTAGTATCTTGATATACTGGTGTTAGTACATTAAAGAGTAATATTGTGAGCAGTTCAGAGCTCACCTTTGGTGCAGTTAAATATAATTATTTAGCAAAAAGGAAATTGGAATATGCATTTTAATGACTAATGAAATAGCAGATGAAAGAAACAGATTAATAAGAAGGAAAAACTCACCTGAAGGTCTGAGTTAGTCCACCATCAGCCCCGGGCTTACAAGTGATGTGAAGCGAGCCTGCTGATTGGTTGGTCAGAACGCAGTCACGCACACTGTCTGGGGCTCCTGTACTCCGCACGCACACACACACACAGAAAACTAATTATTTTGACGTACCATCCTTTTCAACAATGATTTGCATTACTTAATCAACTTTTTTATGATAACCACTTTTCCACACATGCATCAGAGAGGCCCATTAACCAGGAAGAAATAATAGCATAAATATGAAAGAAATATAACGATCATACACACCCCAAAAAATTAATTAATTAGCCATTCTTGCCCCAAAATATACTGCAGCATCACACATGGCAAAGTACCGCAAGCTGAGTCTAGCAAAATGTCCAGTGGAGAACTTCAGTGTTTCATACAATCACGTTTAAGGTTGTTCCTGTGACTGGCAAAACTATCTACAATATTCCCTCTCTTAAAAAAGCTGACGTGGCGCTGCATTCCAGGTATTTCATCCTGTTTACACAGATGGTCAGTCCCAGTCATAGCCAGCACTTACGACTGGCCAAGATTATATATATGCCATTAAAAGGTAAATGGTTAGTGAGTCATATTATGGGATATTTTCAGTTTTGTTTGGTATTGGAGACTTCTAAAAACATAATGGCATTCGATTAAAGAAAAGGCAACGATACAGGTCAGGTGACACCAGGTAACTAGTAGTAATTGGCCTAGCAGGTTTCACGCCACCGGGTCCTGTCCATAACTAACCGGTTGACCAGACTAATTGTCCGTGTGATTAATGAAGGAGACGCTACTGCGCTCTGGTCCCCTGAAGTACCTGACGAATCTGAAGAGAATAAGCCGGACAAAACCAGTCAATTTTTATTAGGAGTCGTCTCTTGGGAAGCTGGACAACCTGCAGAGCAGCCCTTGAGACTAGAGCCTTGTTGGCTGTTGCAGACCAATAGTATAAGACATTGTCCTATTAACAAGTATAAATATTGGTAGAGAAGGCTGTGTTCTGTTAACAGTGGTCTACAAGTAGGAAACTCTGTGTTGACCAGACCACACACTAGAAGGTGAAGGGACGACGACGTTTCGGTCCGTCCTGGACCATTCTCAAGTCACAATCGACTTGAGAATGGTCCAGGACGGACCGAAACGTCGTTTTCCCTTCACCTTCGAGTGTGTGGTCTGGTCAACATTCTTCAGCCACGTTATTGTGACTCATCGCCTGCATAGGAAACTCTGTGCTACGACAGCGTTTGTAGTCGCTTTTGGGGAAGGCACACACACAGCTGGTGAAAAGATGGCGTTTCGACTTGTTACAGTAAAGTTACTGTTCATGAGGAACTTTGGTCCCGTGTGTGAGGTCCAGGGCGGTTATGAACAACGAGGTCAACAAACATTGCCTGTATGTTCAGGTCATAACGAATTCCTGAAGGATTACAGCGCATCCAAGAGAGCGGGAACCGAATACTAGGCAAGGGAAGAGGAGGTGGCTGTAAGGCAAAGTTAGTGAAATAAATACACTAATTTTCAGTAGAGTTTCGATCTGGAAACTGCATTACCCCTCAACCACTCTCTTCTCTCAAATAATACATCACATAATAATGTCAAAATCTGATTGGACAAATAACATTTGTCCGGATTTTGTGGTACTATAGTTTAATAGTATTTCCGAGCTTCTGTGGTACTATACACCACAGAGACTCGGAAAGAATCTCGTTTTCTATCAGTGGGTAGATAGGTTAGGGTTGGTTATGTTCAAGTTTGCGTGTTCATTTTTCAAAATATCATCTGATGCATTTCCAATATATCATCAGATAGGTTTCCAATATATCAACTGATACATTTCCAATATATCATCAGATAAGTTTCCAATATATCATGTGATACATTTCCAATATATCATGTGATACATTTCCAATATATCATCTGATACTTTTTTCCATATATCATCTTATACATTTCCAATATATCATAGAGAGTTACTGATCCAACATGAGTCAAGAACATAGTGTAAGTAATACTTGAGATTGGAAAGTTCAATTATGAATGAGATGTCTTACTGTCACTATACAGACGATAGCAAGGACAGACAGATAACGGAAAGTGGTGTACCTGCAGGCTGAAGGGTGAAGGCACAAGGGTCTTTCTGATGCCCAACCACGTTAGAGGCCCAGCAGAAGACGGTGCCGTAGTCCCTGGCTGAGTAGGCTACGTAGCGCAGTCTTGACACAGACCCATCAACTGTGTACTGCAAGTTGGGTAAAGCTATATTAGTCAAAGTTTTTATGTAAACTCATCTATATTAAAAGATATCGATTTTTTTTTTAATTTGGTTTTGCTTACTCTGTCCTTGAATTATTTACAAGAAATAAATATCAAACCCATTCTTAATCATACATTTATTCAGCACTGATAATCTTGAACTTGATATGTACAATGTACTATATACAATATAGTGCTATGTACTGTATATTAATCGACTGTACTGTGCTTGAGTGGAAGAGACTACCACTGGAAACTGCATTAGTATTCATTGCTGAAACTGCATTACTTTGCATTTGAGATATGCAAAGTCCCATCTGAGCAGCGGCTAGCTGCCTTGGGATCCTTCTCTTTTAAGGTTAACCCATAGTACAGTTGGGAGAACGTCCGCCACACATGTTAGAGGACGGATGTTCGAGGCACCTAGTGCCCAAGGTGAATTATATATATATATTTATATATATATTTATATATCCTTATCTGCTGTGCTTCTCCTTTTGACTATATTTCCTGGAGTGTCTTGCCATAAATTCTTCCTCCTATTGTAAATTTTCCAGTTACTCTTATACTCTCATACTTTTCCCCTCTTTCTCTCTAGTCTATTCTCCATTTCCTGACGAATTGACGTATTGTCGTTAATTTTGTTAAGTATATATCTATACAATATTTGTGCCACCATTGTCTAAAACTTTGGAGGCACAAGCAATCATAAAATAACACGAACTCTAGCAACAAATAACACTGTTACATTTTGCTATCAAACTGACCACACGAATGTTACAGTGATATAGGAATTAACAAGTTCCTCTGAGAGGCATCTCACCTCACCCGGCCTGAATCGCGTGGAGTCGACGGTGTTGTTAAAGAGCCAATAGAAGGTGACATTGGATGGGTAGGCGTCCACTGTACACTGTAGCGTCACTACCTCGCCCTCCACAGCCGTCACCGTCACTCGCTCCTGTGCGCACATTGGCCCGTCTGCCGGAGCACAAGGACTTGAGACTGAGCGGCGAGAACACTGCATCTTGCGAGAGCTGATGGTGTTTAATGGTTGAAAAACAGGTCATAGGGAGAACAGGAAGGGAGGTTTGTTGGTGAGTCAGATCGGTGGTGGAGATGTTGGTGATTGGGGGAGAGGTGTCGAGGCGAGTACAGGTGAGGTAAAGTGTTCATGTGGCATTTAAGAATGGGAGTTGCTAAGAATGTGGAGGTGTCGGTAACAGAAAGGATTGGGAAATGTTAGGAATGTGTCAAGAGCAGCAGAGAGGTCTAGGACAGTGAGTATTTCACACACACACACGCACACACACACACACACACACACACACACACACACACACACACACACACACACACACACACACACACACACACACACACACACACACACACACACACACACACACACACACCGGGTAAACAAGGATAAACTATTCAACACTGGTGGGACGCGAACAAGGGGACACAGGTGGAAACTGAGTACTCACATGAGCCACAGAGACGTTAGAAGGAACTTTTTTAGTGTCAGAGTAGTTAACGGATGGAATGCATTAGGCAGTGATGTGGTGGAGGCTGACTCCATACACAGTTTTAAATGTAGATATGATAGAGCCCAGTAGGCTCAGGAATCTGTACACCAGTTGATTGACAGTTGAGAGGCGGGACCAAAGAGCCAAAGCTCAACCCCCGCAAGCACAAATAGGTGAGTACACACACACACACACACACACACACTCAGGGCCTCGTCCCTTGAAAAATTTGGTGAAGTTAACTCCAAATGTCTGACTTCTAACCATGAACACTTATAGAGACAAATATACAAACAGACACTCTGCTCTATAGATATCAATATCATCGGATATATTCGTAGATAACTTCACCAAATATTTATCAATAAACATCTACAGATAAACTTTCCGTTAACATTTACTAACGCAAATGTACACAAGAATAATGCTAAAAATCTAATGAAATTCAGTAGTGTAAATAACCCATGGATTAACACACAGGTCTGAATACTGAGCATATTGAGAGGGTCCGACGCTGAGGAACTGAAGTAAGATACACAGAGAACGTCACCTCAGGTATACTGAGTTACCTACACTGTATGCTGAGTGTAAGAGGGTTGCTGCGAGAGGTGGCCACCACGTTGGTGGCGGTGCAGGTGTAGGTGCCTGCGTCGGGGCGTTGCACACTCTGCAACACCAGGTTCGTACCCCCTACCAACACCCCCGCGGTCTTCTGGTGACGCACCTCCGTCTCCTGCCACGGGGGGAGAGAGAGTGAGATAATCAAAGAACATTCTCATGAAATAAATGAGTTTCTAGGAGCAGGCTTCAGATGAGCTGAGGTAGGATAACAGCTCTTGCTTACAGATTCACTAGGCACGTCAACAGGAGAGCGAGAGAGAGAGAGAGAGAGAGAGAGAGAGAGAGAGAGAGAGAGAGAGAGAGAGAGAGAGAGAGAGAGAGAGAGAGAGAGAGAGAGAGAGAGAGAGAGAGAGAGAGAGAGAGAGAGAGAGAGAGAGAGAGAGAGAGAGAGAGAGAGAGAGAGAGAGAGAGAGAGAGAGAGAGAGAGAGAGAGAGAGAGAGAGAGAGAGAGAGAGAGAGAGAGAGAGAGAGAGAGAGAGAGAGAGAGAGAGAGAGAGAGAGAGAGAGAGAGAGAGAGAGAGAGAGAGAGAGAGAGAGAGAGAGAGAGAGAGAGAGAGAGAGAGAATGTGATGAGTTTTAGCGTTGAGCTTCAAATGAGCTGATTAAAGAATACTCAGCTTTTTGACTCATTGCAAAAATCCATTATATTTTTAATAAACTAATTATTTATAATTATTACTATTACTAATATCCTAGCTAAAAAAAACCCAGAGATAATTAGAAAAAACAAAACAAATCGAAAACACAATTATACAAAGTCTTATGATAAATTCAAAAGATATCATTTTATAATTTAATTAAATTATAAAAAATGTCTGGTAGCAATGATTCCCAATAATGTGAAGCCACGTAAGTGATGCATTTAGATAGTTTGGACCTGGAGGGAAATCTTCACTCTACTTTTAACATTTTTGCCGTCAAATTCAGACCGACTTTAGCCACAGAAAACTCGAGGAAATGAACTCGAGACTTTAAGGTGTTGAGTGCCGAGTTTCGAAAGTAACATTTTAACAAAGAAATGCATTACTGGGGAAAACGTTTGCATAAGCTTAATCGAATTATTGCAAACATTGAGAGATTAATGAATTCAATAATTAGCACGAGGGCGTGACGGTTTGTAATTAATAACAACTCAATACTGCCCGGTTCAAATGAAGATACAACAAGCAATGTAACATTGTTTAGCTCAACATAATTTACAGCAAAAACTTTAAGGAAATATAGCTGCTTATTCTCAGTCCAAAGAAGTAAAATTAATTTCTTAAATCAACAGCTAAATGTTGATCAATATTAAATCGAGTTGATAATGGACGGACCGAAACGCTGTCGTTTCTTCATCTTCTGGTGTGTGGATTGGTCACCAAATTTTGAAGTGTTAAAATATGCTAGGCAAAATATATATTTATATATAATTAATAGTTTTATAATTATGAACAGGAGAGGTTAAGTATTTTAGATCCATTGTGGATTATTTGTTTTTATGCATTGTAAAAACACTCAGGGCCATTGAAAACTGTGTGAAGCTCTTTTTTTCAGAAACGATGGATTAAAATCCATTGTAAATCATTTGTAGAGTTAATTCTTTAAAACAGCAGGGGATATATATAGTAAAGAACTGGTTTTGGTATTTTGTGGAGGTGATGGGTCTCGTATCCTTAGATCTTGTTTACGCTACATTGTCAAAGCCTCTCTCTGAGCAAGCAGCCTGTTTTGGGCCCATGAACCTTCATGTACTTTTCATTTAATCTTATTTTAATCGATATTTATATCAATCTGATGATATATTTGCAATCAGCAACTAAAGTTTGTTCAGCTAGAACTACAAACAGAGACAGATTCTTAACGAAATGTGTATTGTAGAATATATATACTGAAAAAAATTATCCTGTTATGAAGAAACAATTTATTTATTAAAAGTAATATATCTGAATATAAGTATCTGTTCCCAAAAGATAATATTTTATTTGAGCTGTCAATATTTGATGGTAATTTGTCCAGTTGTAATATATGTGTGACATTGAAGAAGCATTTCCTATTTTTTTTTGTCCACAGATTCACACTCATATTTCCTTACAACAGAATCTGCAGTTTTTATAATATTCTCCATTTCAAAATGATAAATTTCGTTTGCCGAAAGATTTTTGTGAGATTAATTAGTGTGAAATTAAATTTGTATTGATAATTTTTTAACATTACTCATTAATGATCTTAATACCTGGAAAGATCTTGCATAAATTGAATACATATAATTTGATCATTAGGATCGTCTCATCATTTGTGTGAGAAGCAATAACAAAACCCATACAATGCAGATAATATTATAGAGGTGAAGAGGTGAAAATATTCGAATATGGATGAATTTTTACCATTTATTTCCGTGATGTGTACTTTTTGGGCGTGCTCAGGAAGCCCAAAATCCGTACCCAGTACGTACATGCTTTCGATCCTTGTTCCCGTTTCTCGTAAAGTTTTCTACACAATTGTTTTTCCGAAATATGTTGAATTTGTTCATGCATGTATTTTGCATATTTAAGGTTGGGTTTCACGGAATACAGGGGATTTTTATTACATTTAATCAAAATAGAATTTTCATGTTTGTCTATTTCCCTTTTACACAATAAGTTCAATTAGAAATTTACTGAATCATGAATGCATTCCCCTTCTACCAGTCACCCACTAAGAAGAGCAACCAAGTTACCTAAATTCCTGATAAAGAAACTCATAATTTGAGTAACGGTCTAGTCACAATAATATATTATGGTTCCCAGTCCATAACTTAACAAACGATCTTACTAACCTCCTTGTACCATGTGATTCGCTGCACTGGAGGATTGGAGACGATCAGACAATCGAAATAGACATCATCTCCCTGACGGATGTGCTGTGGTCTCAGTGTAGCCCCGAGCTGAAGACGGACTAGAGGTGCGTCTGAGAGAGAACAAATAGAGATGATTGTAAGTTTTTTCTACTTTCTTGTCAGAGACTGGCAACAAGCGTCGTTCGCAGGTCATAGAAAAAAGTAAGTTTCTACCAATTTGTATTAAATTAAATTAATCTCCTGTGTTGTTCAATCTCTCAGCCGAATTGTTTTTTTCTTATATACCCAAAACTATATTTTCTATTGCTTCATCAAATACATTTTATTTGCTCACTATCCAGTCTAAGAACGCTATTTTATGTCTATAAATTACCTGTTCATAAATTGAACAAATTGCTAAAGATACAGGGGAATGCTTAGCTACCATAATAGAAATTACAGGCAATTGCTTGACTGCTATGAGGAATAATACGTAAAGCACCGCTCTGAAAACTATGGTAAATCCTGATTGACAACTGTTAATCCACTGAATATAGCATGGAAGGCGGATATTCATTAAACATTAAAGATAAAAATCCTCCCAGTGTATAAGAATACCCGAAAATGGCACACATTTATTAATTTCAGTCTCTAAAGTACATTTTAGAAATGTGGTTTTATTGTTAAAAAATTCTTCTAAATTTACGTATGAAGGCCATACACTCAAAATATCGTCATCGTAACTAAACTATAGAATAATTCTTAAGGTAATTTTTAGAAATAAATTGTTGAAAAAATCATTGTACAAATTTGAATGAAATTGGGATAGTGGATTTCCTATTGTCATTCCAAAAGTCTGTAGAAATACTCATTATTACAAGTAAATTTACATTCTTTTATACAAAGTTTTACAAGATTATTGACACCAACCGAAGTTTTAACTAACAAATACACGCAGCTAGAACAATGCGAGAGCATACTAACCTATATATGCCCCCCCTATTCATCTATGTTCACCTTTAGGACATAGAAACCTTTTGTACTTTGAACCTTTTATTCACACCTTTTGTTGACCAGACCACACACTAGAAAATGAAGGGACGACGACGTTTCGGTCCGTCCTGGACCATTCTTAAGTCGATTGTGAATCGATTCTCAAGTCGATTCTCACAATCGACTTGAGAATGGTCTAGGACGGACCGAAACGTCGTCGTCCCTTCATTTTCTAGTGTGTGGTCTGGTCAACATATTTCAGCCACGTTATTGTGACTCATCATCTTCACACCTTTTGTTTATAAGACACAAAACTAATATTTATTACTCACGCGTAACATTTAAGGTGGAGTTGGCAGAGACGGGCGGGTCAGGCAGCGTGGAGGACGACGCCGTGCATGTCAACACAGCTCCGTTGTCCTTCGGAGAGGCCACGAACCTCACCCACGATACCGTATCGCTGCCCACCTGTCGCGTCTGATGCGTGGATAACAGTGGCGTATCATTTCCTCGTTCAAGAGGGAATATTTAGACAAGTTTAAGTTAGGCCAAACTTTGTATTACGGGCTCACCTTAGCCCGTGCTACATGGACATTTCGTTCTGAGTAGCTATATCTAAAACAACATAGGCCAAACAAAAACCAGTTAGCTAATAGAACACATGTCATTAGACAATCAATATTATGTTGCAAGGAACAATAGCTGAACAACACTTCAATGACATCCATCATAATAAATGATGGATGTCATTTCAACATATCACCTCACCCAAATGCGAGTATATAAGACAAGCTGTTTAGCGTTAGAATTAGTAAAACTCTGTTAAGTGTTTTCAGGTTACAGTTGTGTGTGTGTGTGTGTGTAAACTAAAGTCTTTGAAAATGTAATACGTTATTACGAAACGCGCTCAAGCGTCGCGTCAGACTAGAAATAAAATTGAATTTTGGAGAATTGATTTTTCAATTACCATCGACAGTAAAAAGAAACATAAGAAATATTGAGAAAATTCGTGTTAGAATTATTAATCTTACTTTTTCGGTTATATTTAACAACACATAATAAATGGGAGAACGGTTGACATGACTAATGTCTTGTTCAAATTCTTCCTTACTTTTTTAATTAAAATTCATGACTTCGAATATCTCTCGTTCTCATCATCAGATCTAAAAATATAAATGTTAAATTAGAAATTAAATCAGCAAAATAAAGAAATCATTCTTGACAAGATTACATTCGATTAGATAAGAGATATAAAATGACACTAATTATAAAAAAAAAAGAAACAAAGCACACAGATCAACTTACATAGAACAATAAAGTAAAGAAAAATTAAATAATACTCAAATTACACAACGGAGAATCACAGTAACGTGATGCATCAATGAACATATCATTAGGAGCCGTGATGAGGGCTCGAACCTATGCGGATATACTCAGTATTCGAATAATCTCAATATTGACACCAAACACGAATTCGAAATCACAATTATAACCTCAAAGATTCTAGAAACTTATACAGTGAAAACCATTTAAAGCAAATTGTACATTATCAGTTAAAAACCTTATATGAAACATAAATATTCAGCCTATTCTCCTGTTTTGGTAGTACTTATAGAAACAATGAGCACCATAGTACATATACCGACGTACAAGGCAATTCAAAAGTAGAAATCTGTATGCAGGTGATGAGTCACAATAACGTGGCTAAAGTATGTTGACCAGACCACACACACTAGAAGGTGAAGGGACGACGACGTTTCGGTCCGTCCTGGACCATTCTCAAGTCGATTGAGAATGGTCCAGGACGGATTGAAACGTCGTCGTGCCTTCACCTTCTAGTGTGTGGTCTGGTCATCGTAGAAATCTATTCTATTGAATTTGGCCAAACGGGAAAAGGTTTTCTATTTATGTTGCAGAGACAAACTAAACTAACCTAACCTGAATTTCCTAGGCCCTAATACTAGCTATTTGAGGCCTTATATAGCTCCCTGATACATTCTTAAATCAGATTGGTCATTCGTTAATGAGTTCACGATTTTAAAATCGAACTCATGCAACGAAGTGATTCATCTCGTTACAATGGTTTCTGATCTCTGAAAATGGTGCCTCAGATGGTGGTAAGCCAGTCTTAAACGATATTCCCCGGTGTTCTAGTATTCTAATCTGAAAATTCCGAATGGAACCCCCAACATATCCGGCATTACAGCTGGAACATACCGCTATATAAGGCAAGAATTATTAGTCACATTATATCCGTTCACCATATTGCATACTTCGGTCATGATTCGTAGAACATTATGCCTTTCGAGTGGATGTAAATGAAGTTTTATCTTTATTCATGTGGCGAGTTTGTAATTTTCAGGGGGTAGCTATTCCATCCGTCTCTGTGCACGTTTGTGAAAATGTATGTTCGTTCTTTAATACATTGCTTAAAACAAAAAACAAGACAGATAACAAGGAGAAAATTGCTTCAAAAACATTATCACACGTCAGGTTTAGTGTTATGCTTCAAAGGCCACAGCAAAATATTACCGACCAATCAATAAGTGTTCTTTTTCATTCTTCTGTCCTTATTCTTCTATCTTTCTATTCTTCTGCAAGTAAACTCTCAGTGTATATTCACCGAAATTCGGGGTGTGTATGTTCCTCTCGGACTATATATATATCCCTCTAATGTCAAATATCTTTATATTAAAAATTCCTGCGACATATTTGCCTTATAGCAAACATTTATACATGGATTTACTGGCTTGAACCCCTCCTATTAATCATGAGTTTCATATCTTTCTTTTCCATCTAGAGTGTGGCAATTTAAAATGTTAAACGAGCTGATATGTCATTACACTCATATCTTTTCCTCGGTTCAGAACCGAACATCTGTCATCATTAAACTTTATTCGACAATCTTTCGGAGAATGCAAAAATTAAATTTTAATATCGTTGGAAAGTCTGCTAATGTTGCTGTTAAATCCAGAACAGAGAATCAACTGGAATACTTCCCTTACAATAGTGTCTCAATCGGACCTGATCCCATTTATGGTTACCGACTCTTTCCTTTGAAATTTCCATACAATAATTATATTCTGCGTATTTCCTCCAACACCAGTCTTTTCTGAGGTATATTTTCAATGGCTTATCTATGATCCATTTATTACATAAAAACTGAAATTTGATTTTTTCGTGTTTACATTGCTCTTCCGTCCTTGCATATGATAAAATAGTATTATTCAAGGATATGTTTAATTTAAAAAATATTCCAAAATATGTGGTAATATATAAATATAATATACCTTTTATGTCATATCCTGAGTGTCGAAAAGTTAAAAATTGTTAATAATAATAATTACACGAATCAACAAATCTTGTTGTGGAACGCTTACCTCTTTGGCGGTAAAATTGAGCCTCTTGCCGTCAAGGGTCCAGGTGATGTTGGCCTCTGGATAAGCTCCCTTGGCCCTGCACTCCAGCCTCTCCTCCAGACCCGCCCGGACCGTCTCCGCCTCCCGCAGGTCCACGCCCTGGGGCGCCACTGTCAAACAGCCAGGTAGTAAAGACAGAGACCAACGTCTTGTACGGTAGAGTGAGGACAAGGATGGTGGAAGCTTAGTCAACGTGAACGAGGGGGGCGGGGTACTGTACAAGAACTGATGAAGCTGAGAGACAGGGACGGATCGTAGTGTACAGGATGAGTGGGATTGGCTAGATGGATCAGTGTACAGGATGAGTGAGTGAGAGAGGATAGACGCATCATTGTATACAGGATGAGTGTGGGATGACTGGCGGACCATAAATTGGGAATGAGAATTAAATTGGATAAACTATTTTTATATTGAACAAACTATTTTTTTACACACTTGTAGTGTAATGGACGGAATTCTTTGTGAGTAGCCCAAGTTGCTGTTCACTTGCTAACATGATAATTTCAGTCAGGAGACTCAGAAAATTAATCAGAAAATTAAATTTTGTATTAAAAAACAAATATTGGTGAAAGGCAGCATCCACCTATAGAAAAATCAATGTCACTAACTAAGGGTGACAATAGTAATCCTAGTTTGCCAATGTCATGGGGAGTTGTGTAAAACCCTGGTTTGTCTCGCGGAGAGGCTGCAGGATCCAGTAAGTTCAGTAGAACTTCGGTTTCAACTCTTTTGACCATGTCGTAGCTCAGTCAATTAAGGCAGCGTCTGGGATGCTCCCGGACGCAGGTTCGAATCCTCGTCACGGTCCTTGTGCATTTGTTCGTGCAATGTCAAGGTTTGGGAAGCATTGTCTCGTAATCCAGCATTATATGGAGCTCTATATATCCCTCTACAGGTTCGTCCACGTAGGGTTGTAATTTGCGTGATAACAATTCGTTCTCCTAATTAGTAAGGAGAGTTGGTAATCCTAGCGAGTAAAGAGCTGACAAGTTATTAAGCCATAAGTTGTTCTGAGCGACCTAATCAAATAATCCTATAAAATATGAAAACACGAATTTACAATGTTCTTTCAAAGACTAAAAATATTCTATTAAGTTATACTAGCTCATATCTTCACAACATAATTTGTATTAGTTAATTACTTGCTTTAATCAAATTAAAAATATTTTAATAACGCCAGGCATAATGTAACTGTCAATGTATTTTAATGTTAACTACAGAACAGTGTTAAGCGAGTGGCAACTTAAATCTTTTAAAAATAGACACAAGCACACACACACAGACAGCAGTACTGGGAACACTGACTATGAATCTTGAGGTGAATGGTTCGGTCCATATGAGGCGATAGGGGATTGTTCTCGGACCTGCAGGTAAAGGGCACCGCGACCAGCTCCCGTGTGAGGGGCCCCACCACCAGTTCGTTAACCGTCTGTGGAGGCCCACTACTGCTGACAACGAAGCTGCTGTTGTCCAAGAGCTTCACGCCCCACCACCACGTTACCGTCGGTGACGGAAATCCTAAAGGAAGAAAAAAGAATGTGATTGAGAACTCAGTGCCACTATACCCATTGTAATGTTGCTGGAATATAACTGCAACATTTAGCATGCGAAAGTGATCGTGATGTTAATTAAAGAAATTAAAATAATGTTTCTTTTAAGATACAACTGGTAATAAGAAATATTCCTTATCGACTATTCTTGACATAATCTATGAGTTCTGTCAGCCTTCTATTTCCTCTCTGCTGTTGCTACGTCGCCTTCCTCGTGTTAAGCGACGAGGAAGGCGCTTATATATATATATATATATATATATATATATATATATATATATATATATATATATATATATATATATATATATATATATATATTTATATATATATATATCATATCAGAAAGACTCCTCACCATAAAAGACTTTTCACCACCAGGGGTTCCATTGCTCCTAACTGGAGCAATGGAACCACTGACAGGCCCCGTACTGTTGGGTATTGGGCATATATATATAGTCTCGGCTATCCAATACTTTTAATAGTCTGTTGGCCATTTGGTGAGGGTACTCGATTTATAAGTGGTTTCATTGCTCCTGTCAGCCTAAGGTTTGAATCTTTCATGGTGAGGAGTCTTCCTTATACAATCGGCTTGTGCGTTTATGCGAGTTTGTGGTTACACACACACACACACACACACACACACACACACACACACACACACACATATATATATATATATATATATATATATATATATATATATGTCGTACCTAGTAGCCAGAACGCACTTCTCAGCCTACTATGCAAGGCCCGATTTGCCTAATAAGCTAAGTTTTCATGAATTATTGTTTTTTCGACTGCCTAACCTACCTAACCTAACCTAACATTTTCGGTTACCTAACCTAACCTAACCTATAAAGATAGGTTAGGTTAGGTTAGGTTAGGTAGGGTTGGTTAGGTTCGGTCATATATCTACGTTAATTTTAACTCCAATAAAAAAAATTGACCTCATACATTATGAAATGGGTAGCTTTATCATTTCATAAGAAAAAAATTAGAGAAAGTATAATAATTCAAGAAAACTTGGCTTATTAGGCAAATCGGGCCTTGCATAGTAGGCCGAGAAGTGCATTCTGGCTACTAGGTACGACATATATATATATATATATATATATATATATATATATATATATATATATATATATATATATATATATATATATATATATATATATATATATATATATATATATATATATATATATATATATTCCCACCTGTACCCTACACCCTGATACACTTGTGGCTTATAGACACAGATATGTCATCAAATTCTTCATCATGCCGTTTAATTTTAATATATCATTGATCGGTATTGACTAAATACCTCATCATTCCGTAAGCAATATGCTATATCCCATCTTATGGAACGTTGACGACAGTTCAGACATTGTAAGTACCTCTTCCCTCAAAATACATAACTCGGAAGATTTTTCTTACGAGGCTTAAACTATCCCCAGAGTGACATATTAATTTTAATTTATCTAATGCTCGTTTCTCTCACGAGACTCAGGACACGATATTTAATCCAGTTAATTTGTTCCCAAGCGGATAGAGTCGGATTCTCCGCAGCCGAACACCTAGGTGTGAATAATTATTTTTAATCATTCGCTGAACTCGATTTGCAGAACTTACAAGAGGGTTTAAAAAAATCTATCTATATATATATATATATACTCTATCACATATATAACAAGAAAACATATTTCATCTGAACGGTAGTGAGACGTGGGTATGTGATGACAGTTGGTGTGACTGCAAGTTTGGATCTACTTTGATTATTGCCAAGTTCAGTTCAAGCTCCTGGGCTCTGCAACTCTGGCTCCTACCAGTTACAAAACTGTTTTCTATTATTACTCGGATGGCTTACCTATCCCATCCTTTTTACACTAGTTACTTGTCATTTAATATCTATATAACCTCACTGGAGCCCATGGCACTTGGCACTCTTCCCATGGCACACACACACACACACACACACACACACACACACACACACACACACACACACACACACACACACACACACACACACACTCTGATTGACGGTTGATTGACGTTGATTGACGGTTGAGAGGCGGGACCAAAGAGCCAGAGCTCAATCCCCGCAAACACAACTAGGTGAGTACAACTAGGTGAGTACTCTCTTCTCTTGGCACTCGCCCAACTGCCTATTCTAAGTTAGTTAAGCTCTAGGATAGGGATGCACTACCCCGCTGGGGTAAACCTTTAGGTCAGGCCTTTGTGGTGTAAAGTTAGGAGGTCCGTAAAGAGCTTGCTCAAGCTTCCTCCACAAAATATTTTGTGCGTATGTCATGGTTTTGGGCTCTCGTGCCTCTTCTTGCCGAAAGAGAGCAGGAGCAGTTTTGACTTTTGGTCCTCAGAATACAGTAAATAGTAATGCTTTTTCTATATGTAGTAATATGTATTCCCTTCTGTCTCTCTATATAATTGTAATGGCCTGGCGGTTTCTCCTGATAGTTCCTTTTCCCTTCCCTTCTGTCTACTGCTTTCCCAGTCCTTCACACCCTTTCACCCTTCACCATCTACCCTATCTTTCATCGCCTTCCCTACCCTTCACCACTATGCGTATCATTCACCACATTCACAACATTTCATCTCGTTCCCTACCCTTCGTCACTTTCTCATCACGACCTTCCCTACTCTACACCACTATGTTTCACTTGATCATATTCACTACACACTCTCTCTTCATCACTTTAGCCATCTTCATCACACACACACACACACACAATGTCTTCACCACTAAAGCCATCTTTTGCGTTTTCTGTATATAAATAAGCTTTATTTAGCTTTAGCCTTCAGCTTTATACAGTAATGTCATGACATTTCATAAGCCCTACCAGTCCACACAATTATGAAGTATTAATTATATTATTTGGTGTCAGTGCCATGAAAATTGGCAGAGAAAAAACAGGAATCAGCTTACTTTCAAAGCTGCAATGTTTAGCAATGTGCTATTGGCTCGCCGGAGCATGAGTGAACAAGTGACCGTCACCGCTACACTCTCACTAGAGTGAGAGTGCAGCTGGACTCTCACTCCAGTGACAGGGACAGCCGACAACCGACCACCGACAACCGAAGAACACTGAACGGAACAGCCAACAAGAACAAGACAGGAACGATCACCTTAAGCCTTAGTGTGGCACCTTACCAGATTCTAATTTTATTTCATTCCCAAGACTAATGTATACCATTAACCTTCAGTATTATGATTTCATTAATTTTTTGTTATTATTGCGTATATATGAACAGATTGTTTGCATTTACTGAGGTAATCCCGTTTGGTGGAAATTGGTTAAGCTGCACTATTTGGAGTTTTGCACCATATGGTCCGTGGTTAATCAGGCAATGGATATTTTATGTTGTGCTCCCCTTCCCTTGATGCCCTAAGGACGTGCTTATTTTGCTCTGTGGTAAATCCAACACTGACGTGTGGGACGGAGGATGTGTGTGGGATCCGAGCTGTGTGGATAAGAGAGAGGAAGAGTGGGTGGCAGGTGGTGAGAGTGTGGGTTGGCAGGTGGTGGGCAGGTGTCGAACAGTCGTGAGGCGAGAGGAAGGATCCAATAAGCCAAATCCAAGCTGACTACAGAAACCCTGGAAAGTTCTCAGAAAAAAGTACAAAAAACTTGATGAGACTCTTGACTGAGAACGCTCTGAACATCAAAGAGGCTTCAGGAAAAACAAGTTACGAGGACAGAGAAGAAGAACATGATCTTCGGAACTATTGGGAACAAATGTTCAGAATCAACCCCCCGAGGGAAATACAAATTTCCGTCGCACCACAGAAAGAGACATTCGAAATGTAGTTGGAAGCAGAGCTGTAACTTTACTTCCAACTCAGGTAACAGACCTTACCAACTTTCGCAATGAATGCCAATTTATGAAACGCATAACAATCGTAGAGGTCCAAAAACAATCAAAGGTTTTAAGACCAAGGCACCGACCACCAACATAATAAAGAAATTAGTATTAACTAATCTCATAGTGACTACAATTGATAAATACGCAAGAATATTAAATGCAGCTTTTACATCTGGAGTATTTTCAGCATTCTTCGAAAGTTCCACTATCAGATTAATCCCTAAGTTGGGTCAATCTCCAATGCAAACCGCAAATTACTGACCAATTTCCCTTCTCGAAGTGCAGGACGCAAGGTTCCATTATAGACACACGCGGTTAGTCACACGGGTTGACACGTGAGCAGCTCACACAAGGACGAATGGTAGTCACAGAGTTACGGTGAAAATTTATCTACCATTTCCAGATGGATTTAATCTGTGCACGCTTCAATCTTCTCCCGTTTCACATCACATAAAATGCACTCTTATTACACCATAAAGAGTGGCAAGCATAGTGATTTTGCTCCCTCTTTTAGAAACCGTGGAGAAATTCCATCTTAATCAACAGCCTATGCCACAATCAGTACCAGCAAATTCTTCCTTACTTTGCCACTTGCAATCTCAAATTCCTCCAGTAATGCCTGGCGAAAACACCGCCATATTAGTTCAGGAACTTGTTTTTGCTTTATTATGAAGACGTCCTGATATCTTTTGTCGAGTTCCTCACACACGTTGTGATTTT